AACCTCCCTTCGCAGTCTGTTCATGGCAACACAGGCTTTTGCCAGCGAGCACCTCCAAACTCTCCCAACCTCTACCCAGTCCCAGTTACAAAGCCTCTTCCACATTTTTAGGTACTTTTTACAGCAGTACCCCACTTCTCAGGATAAATTCATTTCTTAGTCTGATTCTGCCTCTAAAACAAAATACTAAGACTGGGTAATTTGTAAAGAATAGAAATTTACTTCTAACAGTTCTGGAGTGGGAAGTCCGAGATGAAGCCACTACCACATTTGATGTCTGATGAGGGTCTGTTTCTCAGAGAAGGCACATTCTCTGTGTCCTCCCATGGAAGAAAGGGAAAAAATGGCCAAAAGGCTCCCCAAGCACTTTTATAACGGTACTGATCCCATTCTTGAAGGCAGAACCTTTATGACCTAATCATCTCTTAAAGGCTCCACCTCTTAATACTATCGTATTGGGAAATAAGTTTCAACATGAATTTTGGAAGGACATAAACATTCAAACCATAGCAATGTTCTCTTGTAGATTATTTTGAATTTTCCCTGCACATAATACTTTCAACTGTGAATTAGCCTTAACCTTCCTTTGCAATTCTTATTCTTTGTGTTTGCTGTTGTTGCCTTATTGTCCTGGGATGACAGGGACATGTTAAAGGCGTCTGGTCGTGTGAGTCTGATCCAGTGCCATTGGCAGTAGAGTTGTTCCAAAACCTGGCTGTGGAACTAGGTCTGGGGAGAAATTCAAGAATCAGAGTCAAAATCTGATAGCATATTACTTTTCAGAACCTCAAAATTTCAAAAAAAGAAAAAAGAAAAAGGAAGGCAAAGATGCTAAAACTGAGCAGCCACCACAGAAAGGAAGCAGCTGGCTGGAGCAAAAAAAAAAAAAACCACCAGTGGTCTCCCAGAGGATTTTGTTTCATGTTGGCTCACTGTGGGATGCCCACTACCATGCTGCTAACAGTGACAAAGTGCAAGATCTCCAGGCTTCAGGCTGCTGACGGTGACAGCAGAGTCTGTCCCAGACCCACTGCCACTGAACTGAGATGGGATGCCAGGGCCCTGGTGGATGCTCCACAGATGAGGAGCCTGGGAGTCTGTCCAGGTTTCTGCTGGAACCAGGCCAAGGAGCTGCCAACACTCTGACCGGCCTTGCAGGTGAGGGTGGCTCTTTCATTTGGAGACAAAGACAGGGAGGCTGGAGACTGCATACTCACAACTTCTCCAGTGGTATCTGAAATTAGAAATAAGCAGAAAATTCACCAGTGTAATCTAAATTATACACATTGTTTTTCCATTAGGGCCAGGAGCACTATTCTACATTGAGCTTCAATTACTGTGCTTGCCGAGAAGAGTTGTCAGGACTCAGGACCCAACAACCTTGAGACAGTTTTCGCTGACATGCAGGGCCATTGCGAGTTCCCCTCACCTGGGAGCAGAGTAACAGGAGGCAGGGAAGCCAAGCTGGGCCTTCCATGGTTCTTTCCTGGTCGAGACTGAGCAGCTACTCCCCAGCACACTGACCCAGGCACTGATGCAGGCTCTGGACAGCAGGGCGACTGGAGGGACACGCAGAGCATCTGGGGTGGGCGTGCTGGGCTTCCAGCTGCAGAGACCACCTGCCTCCTCTGCTCTGCACCGAGCAACCCAGGCCCAGGCGGTCAGGTCAGAAAAGGCCATTGGCTCAGCCAAGGGTAAGAATTTAACCCCAGTGTCCTCTTGCCTCACCAATCTCAGACTCAGCCGGATGGTGTTTGGCACAAACCTGTTAGAAATAAAATCAGTGCCTGTGGTCTCTTTTCCCTTTCGTCCCCCAAATGCCTAGATGTCTCCTTTGGTGCAAGATTGTACCTGGTTGGAAAGAGTCATTGATCAGACATTTGTCTTCCAGACACATCTTTTTTTGCAGCTTAGTCATCATCCCTATGAGCCCTGCAGCAGCCTCATTGTTCATAAGAACTTGTAAAGGACAATGCTCAGTTATGCCCAGCACTGTGGGTGCAAAGACTACCACACCTGCACAGGTGAGCAGGACCTGGGCTCAGACCCCTCAGTGTGTGTGGAGCCACTTCCCTGCAGACAGACAGTGGTGCTGTCCAGCAGTCAAGGACAGCAATCCCTGGGTGGCTCTGCATTCTCTAGGCCACCCAGTCTACACAGTGCATCCCTCCACCCAGACTAGGTTATTCCCTTTAACAGTTTTGGAAACATGTGTTAACACTCCTCATCTGAACAAGGGGTTCCCTTGTGCTCCTCAGAGTCGTGCACATGTGGTGGTGAGTGACATTCCCCTGGACAGGCTGGGAAGCACTTTCTGTTATAGTCTCCTTGAATTCATTAATAAAAATTGTGGAAATTTGCTTTTTATCTTCTTATATGAGTATCTATATGATATACTCAGTTTTGACTTTTGGTTCATGAGAGATTTAAATATATATTATCTGACTCCTGATATAATCTAATACATTTTGTCTTTTAACTAAAGAGTCAATACATTTACTATAGTTATGATTAGCATAGTAAATATCATTATATATCATATTATATATGTAATATCATAAATTATAATACAATAATATTATATCATTCTTATAAGCCCTTGGGAAATATGACCTAAATTATAACTTAAGACAAAGTACATAAGTCAAGGATTGAGAGTTATGATTGTTTTTATTTCCTGAAGGCTGAGTATGAAAAAGGAACATAAGAAGGGAGAGAGAATATGGTCAGCATAACAAACAGTTTAATCCACTCCAAATTCTGGAGAAGATGGCCCCACACTGAGCACCTACTATGTGCAGGGAACTCTCACATTACATTGGGACACATGCACAAAATAAACAGAAGCCCTTGACCCTCTGAATCTTAAATTTCATTAGAGGGAATCATACACAAAGTGCAAAATCATAAAGAAATAAATTTCCTACAATAGCGTGCAGCAGGGTGTGCTATGAATGCATTTAGAGGGATCATTAAGAAGAGAAGCTTTGGGCTGACTTTGCGAGTGAGGGAGAGGGCCCAGGGGGGCTGCAGGAAAAGCATCTCACTGAGGGACCAGCAAGAGCAGAGCTCCAAAGGCAGGACTGTGTGAGGCTTATTCAGGGCAGGCCCAGGAGACTGGGGAGGCCACAGCCCAGCGTGCCAGAGGACAGAGTCATGGAAGGTGTCAGAGAAGTATCAGGGAGGGTCCAGGGCAGGTAGGGCCTGGCAGGCATTGGAAGGACTTGGGCCTTTACTCTGTGTGATGTGACGTGGACTCTACTGCAAGATCCCGAGCCCGGGAGAACCATGCATGATTCCTAGTTTTAAAAGATCACTCTGGCTGGTGGCTTGAGAATAGATGCAGGGGGGTGAGGGGAGAAAGTGGGTGGTCTCCGAGGAGGGCCTGGCTGTGGTCCAGGCAGGAGACGGCGGGGGCTGCACTGGGATGGGGCAGTGGTGGAGTGCGGGGGGTCAGACTGGGGACACGTTTGGGGTGTGGGATTATTGGCACCATTACTCTTTGTTACAAGGTGCCCAGTGGCATGTGTTGAGTGTGTAGCACTTTTGGTTGTTTTCTCTTTTTTAACTGAGAATTTTCCCACTGCCTGCTGGTGCTCAGGCAGGAGATGTCTCGTTTCCTCTTAGGTTCCTTGTGAGTAACTGAGAGTCTCCAGCTCTCATCCCAAGACCTCAGTCTAGTGTTTTCTCTTTTGCCTTCATGTTACCTTCTTATTTCTTTGTCATCATCTTAGCAATAACATAAAGTGTCCTCTTCTTCCTCCGATTCTTAGCTATTAGAAATGCCATCTTAATCACACAGATTACCTTCAGAACGATTAAGGAACTTACGGGCTGGTGTGAAGAGACAAAGCCGTCACGACAAAGCCGTGCTCAGGAAGGCCATGAGGGGCCGGGCTGCTGTCCCGCACCGTCCCAGTGACTCTCGCAGACTGTCCCATCAGCCAGCTCCGCAGGACCCTCTGTGCTGTCAGACCCCTCCTGCCTTCTGTGCGGTGGATTTTCTGATTAGAATCCTGGATCACTCTATGGATGGCCTTGTACACATTTCATGACCTCTCTCTGCCTTAGTATCTTCAACTTGAAAATGAGAATAAAACATACTTCTTATATCAAGACTCAGATCGTGGCACATAATAACTATTCATGTACACTGCTCCCCTTCTTAGCTTCCTTGTTGTCTTTAAGTTTGTAATTCAGGACATTTAGGGTAGATTATAAAAACATTGTCACATGTTCCTCCCACACAGAGTAGAGTCTGTCTCCCCCTGTCTTGAATCCAGGCTGGTCTCCAGACTTGCTCTGAGCAGTAGAATGTGGAGAAAGCAGCACTGTGCCCAAGAGCCCAGGCCTCAAGGCACCTTGCAGCTTCACCATCTGTTCATGGAAGGTAAAAAACGTGATCTAGCCCAGGGAAGGATGACAGGTCATGTAGGGGAGACTGAGGCACGAAACAACAGCCAGCGCTAAGTGTTGGATATGAACAAAGCCATCCAGGGACATAGCAAGGGGTTAGGGGTGGGCAGTGGGCATGAGCACTTCTGCCAGGAGAAGTGTTTTATCTCTGATATTGTTCAGAATTGCCAGTGCCTGCTGATAACAAAAGGCAGCTTTATTATTAATTTAAACATTTCTACAGACAATTTACTCCTAAGTGCCCGAAGCTGAGGTGGGCTGCCCCCACCTCCCCTCCCACTGCCATGTCAGCAAGAGAAGAACCGGGCTCCTGGCTGACAGCCAGCCCCAAGTGGCAGGCAGGTGGGTGAGGCCAACAGTGACTGCTCAGCCCCCTGACCCAGCTGGCTGCAGCTGCACGAGGGGCCCGGGCAAAGCAGCAGAGAAACCTCCCAGCCAACCCCCAGAATCTCCAGAAATAATACATCACGGTGTCGATCCTTTAAGTTGTGGGTGCTCTGTCATACTGCAATGGAGAATGGAAACATCAATAAACCAACCCATGCCCAGCCTCTCTCTGGACCACAACCCAGCTCCAATTCCCTCTTGCCCTCTCCTCTGTGACGGTGTGGTTTAATGTGAGGTGACAACTCACAACTCTTCAACTCTTCAACCTGCCCTGCTTCCCAGGTGGGGAAACAGACCCGGAAAACATGGACGTGTACCGTGGACCCTTCACTCCTCTCAGACTGTGGCTCCTGCAGGAAGCGGGTGTCTCTGCACCAGGGCAAGGTCTCCAGCCCAGAAAGGGGCTTTTTGTTTGGGGACCAGTCGCTGTGAGAGGCTGGCTGAAGTGCTGCTGGCAGTAAAACACCCCGACGTCTTCAGCTTCCACCCCGTGGATGGAGAGGGAGAAGTCAAAGCCAGAGCCGCTTCCCCGGAACCGGGAAGGGGTTCCAGCAGCCCTGGCAGAAGCCCCAAAGAGGAGCAGCCTGGGAGCCTCCTGAGGTCTCTGGTGGTACCAGGCCATGGAGGTACCTACCTCCAGGCTGCTTCTACAGGTGATGGAGACAAAGTCACCTTGAGATGCTGCCAGGGTCTCTGGAGACTGGGCCAGGATGATCTGTCCCCTGCAGCCTGCAAGGACACCCCATCCAGGCAGCACAACGTGTTACTTCTCTCAAAGGCTTAGCCCTGTTCCCCAGAAGAACCATGTGATACTTAAACATAATGAACATCAGTGCCCCTGGCCTTTCCACCTGCCTCTGTGTACAAGAATCTGCATGGACATGGCTGTGAGCATGTCCTCAGGACCAGGACAGCTATGAAAGGGGGGGACACAAGCACGACACAGCCCCACCTGAGGGGCTGATGGGCAGGTCCTTTCTTCATAGCCTGAGGAGGACCCTGGTGAGCCACCCAAGAGAAGTAGATATAGGGTGGGGAACAAGGACAGAGTGCTCAGTAGCCCTCATGGAGACAGGTGACAGGTTCAGGACTGTTTGCACCTCTGCCTCAGTTTCCTAATAAGAGTTAAGTTAAAACAGCTATACATATTACAGTGTAATTTCCAAAGCACATTTGAGCACATTATCTCTTTGTTAAAGGCTAGAGCTCCCGCTCGTGATCTGCAGGAACAAAATGTACTCACGCTGAAAGCCCAGCAACGGGAGGCAGAGGAGCAGGGCCAGGAGGCTCATCTTGGAGTCCACGGAATTTTCTGCTTCTGGAGCTAAGGGGCAAGGGAAACACGGTTGGTAGTTAAGGCCAGGGCTGCTCTAGAACCCGGGCTCTCACCCCCAGAGTTAAATAAGCACAGGTTTCCTTGGGGTCCATTTGCATGTCTGATGACCTGAGTCACATCCTCCATGCAGGGGCCTCCCAGGGCAGGCGGGGTCACTCCAGCTGCAGCTTGTGGGGTGGGGATTGGGGATGGCGGAGTGGGCAGGGGTGATGGAAGTTCCTCTGGTCCCGCAGAAGCTAAGCCTGGACTGAGTGTGACAGTGATGCTGCCCCATTCACAGGGCTCCTCTCCAGAGGCTGGAAGAGGGGTCACCCTGGACCACATAGATGTCTGCAGAGTGGTCCCCGGATATTCTATCCTTATGGAGACAGAGACTGTTCTGCTTAACTCGATGCCAAGTTAACAGGTGACCTAAGCCCAGACCAGGCCATCAGAGATCCCAGACAGTCCAGCTCTGCTGTGTTCATAGGAGCCTGTGGGCCTCGTGGACCTGCTTCATCACTGGAGCCTGTCGGGAGACACCTCCCTGATTGCCTGCAACTTTTCCTTTTATTTTATGATTTTTCCCTTGGATCTGAAACAAGTCTCCAAACAATTAGTTATACAGCCTCTTCCACAAACCCAGCACCTAACCACGACTCCATTCCCAGAGCAGAGCCCCTGGCTGTGCCCCTGCTTATGCCCCACTCTGTCCCTCTACCCTGGGTCTCCTGGTGTTGACCTATGGCCCATTTCTTGAACAGAATCCAGTCAGTACTAACATCGCTCCCATTTTCACCTGTCTCCCACTAGAACGTTTGCATGTACTATTTCATTTATTTATTACTGCCTGACAGCCCACCCCAAATGGCAGTGGCTTAAAACAGCAATCATTTATGTAGGTTAACAATTTGGGTCCTTCTACTGCTCAACTGGCCTTGCTCTCTCATGTGGCTGGATGACCCAAGATGGCCTTACGCCCATGCCTGGGGGCTGAAGCTGGCTGTTGGCTGGTGGATCTGGGGGGTGGCTCATCTCTGCTCCATGTGGCCTCTCATCCCCCGGTTGGCTAGACTTGGCTCCTCATGTGCAGTCTCAGGACAGACTCCCAAGGCAGCAAGAGTTGTCTGAGTTCAAAACCCATGCCAGGTCATTTCTGCCGCATTCTATGGGTCAAACAAACTGAAAGGACAGGGAGCTAACCAGACCCATCTCTAAGTAAGAGGATTCAGGAGTTGCATTACAAAGGGGCTGGTGTACAGGGATGGAAGGAATTGCTCCAGTCTCTTCAGTGGACAATGTAGCACACATGTCATCAGGCCACCCCTGCCCCGGATGGCTGTACGGTCAGGCACAGTCCGAGTTGAGAAAAATCATACACTGCACCGGAATGCTCCTCAATTTGTCATGTGTGGGCTTTGTCTGGTTAAAGAAGAGCATGGGGATGCTGCCAAATCCTGTTATTAATGCGGCTTTAGTTTCCCCAAGGTGATCAGACCTCAGGAAACTAAAGCCATTAATGTCCATTGAAACAGTCTACAGAAGGCCCAGGTTGGCTTCTGCGTGTGCATTTGTGTGTGTGACTTTCTGTTCGAGTATGTAAATCTGCACAAGATGCTCTCAACCCAAGAGTCTAGGCATGGTCTTTGGGATCGTAGATTATAATCTCCTGTAATGTGTCCAAGAACTCAGAATCCCCTTTGTCAATGCTGGAGGGGACAGAGGCTAAGGTGAGGGACATCCCGTGGTTTGGCACACCATGATGTCAATTCTTCTGGAATTCAACTCCAAACAGAAGGTGTCTCCCCACACTTGAGAAGAGTTAAAACACCTCTCCCATCTCACCTGGAGAGAGATGTGGATCACAGCAGAGAAAACCACAGCCCAGGAAAACACAGAATTCCGTAGAGCCCTGAAAGAGACATAGAGAGAGCTAGTTAACATAGTCGCTTTGGTTAACAGCTGGGCATAGCATTTACATGGAATCTTCGGGGAAAGAGAACATCAGTAGAAATCATCCAAAAAGATTCTATATAAAGGAGAAACTTTGAGGAAGTTCAGGAACAAAGGCAAAGAATTTCCCAGGTTCTTAATGTAATGTCGAGTGTAAACTGCAGCAGCTGTTTGAAATGGCAGACTTCATCGCTCTTCTCTGGCCATTCCCCACACGACCAGGTCAAGGATGCCGGGCTCAGGGAAGACCTGTCCTAGCCAGAAAAGCCTGCCCGATTGAACTAGACAAACCCATTCACCCTCTCTGCTCGCCCCTCTCTTTCTTCTGCCCCAAAAGAAAGAAGAGGAGAAGCAGGGAAAGGAGAGAGCAGGTGAAAGGAGCCCAGGAGGAACAGAGCTGCTGGAGGAAGGAGTCTGTGGAGTGTCATGCAAACCGCTGTGCTCAGTGCAAGATGACAGGGGAGGCCAGGAAACTCCTGGGTCATCAATAATAAAGGGAGGCTCGAGTAGCTCAAGTATATTTTGACCAGACTGAGAGTTATGGTTCCCCCAAAAGTCCTCTCTTCTTTGCTAATCTTATTTTTTTGCATCTATGTCCACTCATATTGCTACTGGCAACAGGTAAGCCCAGACTTCTCAGCTGTCTAAAGCCTCACAGGGGGCCAGCTGCACCATCCCCTTTGTCACTTACTAGCAAGTGGAGGGACAGTGCATCAGGCGCTTGGACTGAGCAATGACTGACAGGCTGAGAACCACTGTGCGATGGCCCCAAGGATGCAGACATTAGCATCTGGACCAAAAAGAGAAAGTTTTCAGAAACAGGGGTCAGGGTCTACAGGTCAGTAGAATCATCTGATTCTCATCCTCCCTGCATTTGAGGAAATAGATACCAGATCTGGTGCCCACCAAAAGCAAAATCACAGGAGTAGGATGGTCCACGTGGGACCCTGACAGTCAGCAGGAGGCCCCACAAGCTGGGGCTTGTCTCTGGGGAGGGCTGTGGGTTTTCTTGTTATGTCATTTTAATTAAGAGTAATGGGCAGGTGATTGGCTTGATGATTGGCAGCTGCTCGGGATAATTCCTTCAGTTTTTAGAAAAACCACAAGAGGAAAAGAAAAGGGCCAGGGAACCATCCTAACCAAGATGGGGAACACAGAGGTTACCAAAGGAAAGACAGGCACGTTGGACTAGTGGGAAGTGCTCAGCACCTGGTGTTGAAAGCTAGCGTACTTTGTCAATAAAAAAATTATGAATCTGGAAAAAAAAAAAACATGATGCCATGTCAGGGTCTTTAAATTCTGAAGAAAGAATAGATGTAAAACAGAACAAGTATAAGGTTCCAGATAAATTATCTTCAGCAATAAATAACGATTTCACACAGTTAGGTGTATGAAACAGACAGACAAAACAGACAATAAGTGAGACAAGATTCTCCGAGAGAGTATAGGGGGCATGCGTACTAGCCCCATATGAAGTCCTCCAGTGGGCTGATGTGGAATGAAAGAAACAAACAAACATGGGTGACAAAAAGAGAATTGGTGAAACTGTAAAGTCAGCCCTGGCTGTCTCTGGTGGAAGTGAGCACTCCCAGGTCCACAGTTTTCTCAAGGGAAGTGTCTGAACCCCAGGGGCACCCTCCCATTGGAGCAGTTCCCACACACACACACACACACACACACACACACACGGGAAAGGGGAGGCAACTCCAGGTGCCCAGACAGATGCCGTGTACAGCTGCTTGCAAATTCTCTCCTGTTCCCACGCCATCAAGCAACTTTGGAAACCTGTCAAGAAACCAATAGACAGACCTCAAACCCTAACTCAGGAAGGATAGCACCTCCCAGAGACAAGAGAAAGGGATTCAAGAAGATTTGCTACATCAGAGCCAAGAGGGCTTTTGCAGCTACATCAGGTTTTCAAATGCAAAATGGCAGCATCCTTTAGGAAAAGAAGGATGTTTACAAAATACAGTAAGAACATGTCTGGAAGAAAGCATTACCCCAAAAAATAGAATGAAATCCCTCATGAGCATATTGAGCTAGGAAAGTGTTTAATAAAATGAAGTCCATACAACGAGACTCCCAAAGTTGAAATGAAATTAGTAGAGTTTCCAGTTGAGGAAACAAACTGAGAACTAAGCCAGCAGAATTCAAGAAGGGTTTCTTTAGTTCTCTTTGTACTTTCTCCCTGGGAGCTCATCGGGTGGAAATGACTTGGGCATTTAAGAGTGAAGATAGGGAGCCTCAAGCGAGTGTCCCTGCCTCCCACTGCCCTGCGTCCTGCGTGGGAATGAAAGTATGGGAGAGTCCAGGAGGTGAGGAAGTGTCCCCAGCCACCCACCCCTGCTCCAAGAAGCCTGTCCCTCCAGCGTGGCTCCTCCCAACCTGCCCCGTCCACAGCCCCACTTTCTGCAGCCTCTTCAGTATCAGCCTGCCTTCCTTTGGCTTGCAGCTCCCTCTGGCTGCCACCCTTTCCTCCCTTCCCTCCCTTCAGATTCTGCTTTGAAAGAGTTGTCTACACTCAGCCTGCCCTTCCTTGCCATCCTCTCACCCAGAACCCACTAC